CCAGTTCCGCCGCTTCGCTCTGAGGTGTCGCTGTGACGCCTGAGGGCCGACCTTGAGCCTCAAGTAGTGTTGCCTACCTCAGACCAGTCCGATCTGAGCGCTTCACAAGCCGCGAGGGCATTCATCAGACCCCATCCTTGAGGCGACGCAGTCAGTGCTGCCAGCAGAGACCCGAATACCAGGGCATGCCGGAGTGGTGCCAGAGCCCGGAACCAAAAAGAGCTGTTGACGAAGCCTTCGCCGAGAGAAGGAAAGCATGTCAGGGGATGCAAACCGACCGGAATTCAGCAATGATAGAAAGCACTCCGGGCCGCTTGCAGGGCAGTACGTACAGCAGTCGATCACCGCATCTATGCCCACCTGGAGAAGTACGGGGCAAGAGTGTATGTACACCTCAACAGCTCGGTGGGGCTAGACGGGAGGCAAACAGGGGGACAGGAGCCCGTCATGCTGAGGAGCGAGGTTGAAATTCTCCAACCGTGGACGAGGTTCGCCGGCTCTCTACAAAACGCTGAATCTTCCACGTTGAACCCATCCATCATCGAGGAGGTAAAACAGCGATCAAACGTGCCAACCACTTAACGATCGCAACACCTGGGGTCCGCGCCAATCCCCTAGGAGACCCGGAGAGCAGCACGGCGATGGGAAGCTGGAAGCACCAGGTCATGATTCCCTGCCGGTATAACTACTCAACTTCGACGACGTAGACGTACACATCGTGATTTAGGCTTGCACGCCATCCTCGTCGAACTGTGGAACGGGAGGGAGGTCCTGTAGGAATGGAAAGCTGCCACCAGGAAGGTACATGTGATCTACAGGAAGTCGGGCCGATCAGTTTGTAGCGAACTACTTGGGGACATCCCTTCTGCCGTATGAGGGCAAGGTGCTCCTTAGTGACTGCTGCCGTATGTGCCACAACATCTTGCCGCAAGAGCAGTGCGGCTTCCGACCTGGCAGGTCCACCGTCGACATGCTGTTCGTGGCACGACGACTGAATGACTGGCAAGGATACGGGTTAGTTATCCCGCACTACATTTGCTTCGTCGAACTCCAGGTGGCTATGACTCAGTCGACCGGAAGCTGCTGTGGCGGGTGCTGGCCCGAGCGGGGACCCCGGAGGAAATAATCGCAGTCGTCCGCCAGTTCTGCAAGCTCGAGTACGCATGGACAACAGAGAGCTCTCTACATGGTTCGAGGTCGCCCAGGGACTGAGACAAGAACTAGTAGAGTCTCCATTGCTATAAAATATCTTCGCGGAACGTTCGGGGTAGTTCTGGTACCACGTTTGAGCGATGAGGACGTTACCCTCAGGGAAATGGTATACCTCGACGAGGAGGTCAAAACGAGGGCAACGACACCGCTGGAGCGAGTCCCGAAGGTGGTGTGGGGTATGCTGTACGCCGACGACGCTGGTTCGTATCGAGATTGACCGAAGCCCTGTCAAGGAAGATGTTATCATGGAAGTGTTATAAGCATTCGTCCTGAAAGTGTGGGAGACTCTCCACATGAAGGTGCCGGAGAAGAAACCAAAGAAGGGAACACCGCCACCTCCACCCCAGCCACCTACGGCGTCGCTGGTGAACGAAGCAGCGGGGTAGAGGAATGCCCAGACAGCGGAGTTCCTGACCTATAGTCTACCTGGGTAGCCAGGTCAGAGAAGAAGATCAACCAACGGAGCAGAACAGCGTGGGCTTGACTCCGAAAGTACCCCCAGGAGCTTATTTACAGGACGACAGCACGGTAGGGACCGGAAACCCGGCTGCTGAAGCGGGAGTGATGGAGGCCCTGCCATACGGCGTCTCCAAACCGTTGTCGGGTGTTTCTTGCCGTACACAGCGTCTCCACAAAAAAAATGGTGGGCAAGCCTTGCTCACCTTAGGGACATACCCGTATGTTGTCATCACAAATTACGCGGTGCCACGACTTTCCACTCTCACCCGCTCACGGGAACAAATTCTCACCAGGTTTCCACCTTCTTCTTCTTCTTCTTCTTCTTGCGACTCGGGCCCCCGCGCCCACAGGGGGTGCGGGGGCCGTTCATACCCTACAACGCAGTCTTACATGATTTCTCACCCCACCGGCGGGAACCCACCTCACCTTCTACCTGCAGGTTATACTGAGCAGTACTGTTGTGTAAGTTCGCCATCGGACATTAAGGGTACTAAGCAGTGTGAACCCGAAGCCGTGCTGTCATGGCCGAGAAATATCGTCTCTACATAATTCATACATGGTACCCCAATATTTACACACACTTCAAGTATTCATAATGGTGCAGCAGCAGCAGTCTGTAGACTTCCTCACGCTGAGGAGATCCTTATTCCATTGTAACTGCACTCACCTTTGCGTCGTACACGTAGATGCTTTTGTTTTCACGGCACCTGCTGAAGTCAAAGCATGGCGCAGCCCAAGGGGAACCGCAGTGCTTCGCCTTTCCGAAGCTCGCCAGATCGAAACTCGAGCAGCGGTTGGCAACTTTTGGAGGAACATTCGCTAGCGACGTCAAGTTTGACATCCGCGACGGGATTATGGGAGCGGCATAAGCTGTAGGACAACCTGTATGTCGGGAACAGATTGCTGCTGTCCCAACGAATGCCAGCAATCCCAAGCGTGCCATGTACAGAGCTCCTGGGTGAAAAAATAGGAACATGTACAGAGCAGGAGGCAGGATATATGTATGGTGGAAAGTTAGTTGCCAGCGTTTCTTCTATCTTATTTCGATGGGACGGGGGACGTGAGATGAAACGGGTTGCATGGAGTATGTTGCACATGGTGTTCAACCGGGATGGTGGGAGCCATGAGAAGGAGGCGCCGCTGGTATGCTCGGGGTTAGCCAATCAGAGCCCAGGTTTCGATATGAGTGCAAACACAGGCCATCCCAAGCCAGATCATTCCGCACATTTCCATTTGGTCATATCTTTGTATTCCTATTGTAGTCTATAGCACGAGTTGATGACAATGTGAGCGTTGTTACATGTACTTGCACCCGAACCGTTCGCAAAAACGCACTCATCGTTCCTTTTCACAGCTATGTGGCAACACTGATCACCATCGTGGGTATCGACCCAGCGGGGGTGTCGTAGTAAGTAATGTGCACGACATTTGTGATGTGATCTGTTGAAAAATCTGGAACGGCACCAACTCGACAGAGTTGTTCGTGGTTCACGAATCAGAGCAATACAAGCCCTACCGGCGAACACTTCTGTATCGTGCAACGATACTTCCATCATGTAGCTCGGCGCTGCTTCGTTTTACAAGAACGACTCGGTTGCCCCAGCACGTCCAACTGCCATCTGTTCTTTTCCTCTTCGTACTTTCATCACCCTCCGAGCGTGGTGACATGCACCACACAAGTGCCCGACCATGTGTGCTGTTCCTCTCCTCTTCATCTATTGGCTTCAACTAACAGCATATTGGTGAAATTGAAGGGGAAGCCCGTAGCCACGAGCAGATACCCTGGTCATCCTGTGGGAGTCTCTCGATGTGGAGTTACAGCGGCGAGCAGAAGCTACAGCAGAGCCCACCGCCCGAGACCAAACCTCTCTGCAACAGTTTGAGGCAGGAATAGCCAATCTGGGGAAATCTAGCAACTTGTCTAGCTCCTAGCTGCAGCATTCGATGACGATGACACGCATATGCTCGTGACGCTGCTGATGAGACCTTCCATTTGCGCCGCTTGTTGGAAGAGCCCAGCCCCTACTTCCCAAGAAGTGGCAAGAGGCGTCTGGACCCGAATTATATATTTTTGGCTCTCGCTCTCAATTTCACCAGTATGTTGTTAACTGTCTTAATTCACAGTTTCGAACTGGGGCTCCAAATTTCCGGTTTAGAAAGCAGCTTTTGAGACAAGAACTTTTCCTGGAAACTTCGTGATGGTGAATTTTTGCATATATATGTAAGCGGCTTCATGTGATTGGTTTGGGTCAACAGTCCTCTCACGAACTTGCCCTGTGTTGTTTTTTCGTGGTGCCCTACGTGACAGCTAGCTGTGAACCTTGCTTGACGACAATGTGCTCTCACTGCTGCTGCTGTTGAGTGTGCGTGCGTGCGTGCGTGCGCGTGTCCGTGTCTACGTCGTTCCCTCAACCCCAGCACACGAAATCACACCACAATACACGGAGACAGGAAGTGATTACTGTACACTGGCCGACGACAGCCTCTGAACGAAGTGCTATGTCGCGTTTCAAGCATTCGGGAGAGAGACGGAGGGTTTGGGACCGGGTGGCACATCCGAGTCAAACGCTCTTCTTCTTAGTAGACACCAGAGAAAATACTCTTGCGCGCGGAAGGACGCGCCCGCCTTCACCAGGAGGTCACTACCTGCTCTTCCTCTTCTCTGTTCTGCTTCTTTGCTGGCGGCGTCGCCACCACCTCGAGGTTCGTGCTCTCTTCCTCCCCCTTGCCTCAATCTGACGGGTGGATTGCTGACCTCAAGTCAGCCAGAAACAAACCCAACTTTCTGACCGTGCAGTCTCCCTGTTTTTGTGTTGGTGGCGCGCCAACTCCAAGGCCTTCCTCTGGGCGCTGCCATTCTCTTTCGCCGCCCTGACATGTTCTCAGCAGACTGCTGTGTATGCGTGGGGTGGTGCGTGTGATGTGTTACTTCGAACAAAGTTGCTAAATCGAAAGATCGTGAATTTTTTCCCAAACCATGCCTCCCTCGGCTCTTACATCTGTAATTTTTTTCCCTGTTGTGGGTTCTGGCGAGACTGTCAGGAGCGATCCTCAGAACGACCCCTTAACAAAAAATATGTTTCCGAACTGTCAAAACGAAGGATTCGGTACAACCGTGAATCCGTGGTTTGTGGAAGCGTTCCGGAAATTTCGTGGAAGAGCGGCGAAATAATAAGTGGTACACGGGGGTATAGCTATACACAGGGTACAAAGAAGAGAGAGAGTTTGGCAGAAGCTTTTGGGATCCTTGGGAAGCCGAGGACCTCGAAGGGAAAAACGTTGCATCGCCCGCAAAGGCAGTGCAGCAAAGCAGCAGCGAGAGAAAAGAGTTTTCGTTTGGGACTTGATCGAATTTTGATCCTGTCCTAGACAGGCCGGAGTGATGAACAACGGCAACAACCCGCAGCAGCAGGGTCAGGGTCCCCCCCAGCAGCCGCAACCAGCGCAGCCAGCGCCACCTCCACCGCCACCACCGCCGCCCGGACCACCGCCCGCAGCTCACCAACAACAGAGCAGCGGCGGCGGAGGAGCAGCAGCAGCGGCAGCTCCCCACGGTGGCGGACAGGCAGGAGCAGCGGGAGACCAGCCAGCAGCGGCGGTGGGAAACCAACAGGCGGCGGCGGGAAACAACAACGCGCCCCCGGCAGCAGGAGGCGACCAGAACGCGGGCGGAGCCGCGCCAGCCGGGCTGGGAGGCCCACCTCCCCCCCTCAACCCAGTCCAGCTACTGCTGCAAATGTCGGTACTCCTAAAAGAGCAAAGCGACCGACTCGGCAACCTGGAGATCAGGATGCAGCAGCAGCAGCAGCAGCAGCAGCAGCAGC